TTTATCTTTCTGTGATCCCCACCTGTTCTCCTGCTCTGGTTCTCTTCTGCGTATGCTTCAGTTTTCCACTTATTCTCTCCCCAAATCCTTCTTTCTTCTTAGAAATGTGCTCGCCTTCTGCTAAGTTGCTCTCAAAGTATCATGTGACATAAACAACTTTGTGAACGTGGCTCATCTTTTAATAGTAGCTGTCCTCATTTTATTTTTTCGCCCACTGTCTCAGCCCCCTCTATCGCTCCTTCTCATCGTCTCCCCTCTTGTTCCTCGTTCGCACTACACCTTGTGCTGCAGTACTACAGTAACGTGCTGCAAGGTCATCCTCACCACGGCAACTGAAGAAACCATGGGATAAAGTGGATGATGGTGTCAGTTGGAGCTTGATATCATTGCAGTATAAAATAATAATACAAAATGTTTTAAATGCTAGATATATATTCCGAACAGTATTTAATACCCACTGTCCACCAATGAGGCTAGAGCAGGGAGTTAAGGTGATGAAAGGACACATTCAGTAAAGTTACGAACGTGAAGGTAAGTTTGTCAAGTGACATTTTTCATGTTCACAGAAACCATTATTGAGAAACATTTATATGACTACTTTGGACAATGTCCCACCCACTAACCTGGAGGAGTTGGTTTTGAGCTGCAGCCAGCTATCAGGGCGATTGAATCAATTCTGTGAAACCATCGTGTTGTCCATATATATATATATATAAATATATACTGCTATGGGGATATTTATTAATGTTTGCCATTTAGGTCATATTATCGTACTCCCACTCCAGCATATATGGTATAATGTAAATATGCAAAAATATTATTGACGTAGAGGTATGATTCTTGTGTTACCTTGGGGTATGTAGCTTTCTGACATAATTAATACTATAACAATAAAGTCATATTCAAGATTTACATAGTATCCTCATTAATGATGGAGACATGGCTCATTAAGTCAAATGACAGTGAATGATGGATGGTGCTGTAATGAAATATATTATATTTGGTCTCCATAAATCTATGTATAACTGTGTAACAATAAAAACTTTCACTTTTTTCATTCCAGCTTAAACTGTCTGGGAATCACGGACTGAAGGACACCTCTATGACGTTAATGAGCTCATATACCTTGCCGAGGGGACATCAGCATTAATAAGGCTCACACTTGAAGCCTGCTGAAGAAATGCTTGGTCCCTACCCATGCAGGCTTGAGATTTGATCCGATGGTCTTCGGCTGACTGCCGGTCATTCTGAAATGATACTCCTTTGCGATGCTGTTTCGACAGATTGTACCATCAGGGTAATATTAGACTTCATTCCATTCCCCAGCTTGTGACACGCACGCATTAGCATTGACCACAAACCATGAGACAACAGATCTGCATCATCTACAGTGGATACACAGCTACAGAGATATGAATGGAAGGTCAGCCGGTGCATTGATATTCAGGACGCAGACATATGAGTAATATGTACGCATATGCACAACATCAACTATCTCCCTCGTGTGCTCTCAGGAGCACACATTAACACACACAATCCACGACACCCTCCTTCGGCTGTAAGACAAACAGAGGGGAGGGGAGACGACGAGGGCAGTCAAGTGGCACGTGTGCAAGCTGTCGTCTGCACAGTGATATCAGTGTAAGTGTTTAAACAGCCTGACATGCATAGAGATATGGGGGGAGGCAGTTATAGCACACACCTACGTGAATAGGGGTGTTAGGTAATATGTGTTTAACAACATGGTTATCCGTGCTGTGCATGTATGCAAACATTATATCGGTCTATACAGCTACTTTTATGTTCACTGCAGCGTGGCTGGCTGTGGTGGTGCCAGTGTGGTGTAATGCAGTGGCGGAAAAGGGGTGTCATTGAGTTCATGGACATAAACCAACCCACTGCCAGACCAGTCTGCTCCTCTCAGGAATAGCAATGGAGGTGCTGCTTGTATGAGAATATGTGAATGTGTGTGCGTTTGTGTGAGAGGGAGTCAGTGGCACAGACAGACAGACAGGGTAAGACATAAACAGTGAGTAAAAGAAAGGGGAGGTCCGAGGGTTAGAGATCTATGTAATAGGTGGAAAGGAGGCAAATCCAAAAAATGCTTCCTTGTGTAAATTTACCACCTCTGCGTGTGGCATTTCAAGCACAGGGTCCGTTATCAGTCATAACAATGACAAACACACACCTACACACATAAACAGTATGCACAGTCTTTCTACTTTTGTGTCTATGGTCTCACACGCAGACACAAACCAACCTGCACAGACAGTGGTGCAGGCACACAGGTGAGCCAGGGAATGATAGAAACAAGAGAGGGGAAATGCAGACTGACACAAGAGAGGTAGACAGACAAGAGATACAGGTGGCATGGCCTCAGATAGACGGACGGGAGATATTCAGCATATAATGAGATGGGAGTAGAGTGGGTGAGAGAGAGGTTTCACAGATGTAATAACTACAGAGAAGATAAGAATTATTTATTGGAAACTTGGGCAGTGGAAAACGCTCAACAGGAGAAACAGGGTGACCATGGCTAAATAGAAGCTAAAAAGTTTAGTAAAAAATTGTTCTGATAATGAAGAGATAAGATGATTTTTTTACATTCCACAGTCTGGTATTTTTGATCAAATCGGGAAATGCCAAAGGAGTGGATGCTCCCTCAAAAAGGAAATCATTTTTTTCCAATCAGAACCAAACACTCACACTTATCGAAATGCAGGATCCCAGAGTTGACGTCAGAGCATCATTTGCGCAAAGAAGAGATAATCTGTTCTCTTCAGATGTCTATGACTTGTGATTCAGTTTGACACCTTAATCTGCGGAAAACACAGAGGGCTCCTCCATGGAGCCAACTGTATTTACTATAGATTACGTCTTCCCCTAGTGTCCATTAGTCAAGTGACAGCTTTACACACTGCAGGAAAAACAGCAATCATACACCATTGACTGACTCACTGTGATTTTGCCACTCGCCAAACGGCCTCGTAGGACCCCCCCCCAACCATTTGTCTGAGTGACCGATTATCTATCTGCCAGTTACATGCGCTTTGGTGAGTTTCTGAAGGCTTGGGCCTCAAAGTAATTTCCACTCACATTCTCCCGCCACCATTTAATTGGAGCCCACCAGATTTTTTATTTATCTTGATAATTGAATCATGTAAATCAGGGTAAGGGTGTGCTCATGTCATCATGCACATGCACATTTTCTCACACAAACACTGTCGCTCATCTGTATTCGACACGTTGCCCTGTGCCTGCTGAGGACAGCAGGGAGATGACATCACTTCTAAAGGACAGATTAGTTGAGGGAGGAAACGAGAAGGTGGGGGAGGAACTAAAAAGAGCTCAATTCTTTAAAAAAAAGAATTCTTTATTTTTTTATGCTAATAAAATTAACAGTCATTTGCAGGTAGCAGTGTATTCCCTCCCACTCACTCTGTTAGAGTCTTTTTCTTCTCTCACATAGTCAGAGATGTGTGTGCTGAGAAATTAAGTATGTATCTGAGTGCCTCTGTGCTCTCGCTGTTCTATACTCTAATGACCTTGTAGATCTGCCTGCTCTGATCTGCAGAGAAGGTTTTTTTTTTTTTTTTGCATCAACCCACTGAGAGTCAGACACCGAAAGAGAAACACGAAGTGAGCCATAAAGAGGCAGAAAAAAGAGACAGAGAGCTGCAGGGAGAGAGAGACAAAGACCGAGAGGGGTGAGGAAGTAAAACTGTGAAGAAGAGAGGCAGACGTGGTTGAGATTAGTGGGTGAGAAGAGGGCGTGTACTCAAAATAAAAAGAGAAAATAAAGATAGACGCAGTGATTGTTACAGCATCAGTTTGGAGTTTGGTAAATAATAAAAATCACATGTGTCATGAATCAAACAATGATCATCAATATTGTTACAAATAAACAGGTAAATAAAATACAGTGTTTCCTCTGTGATACGTATGATAGTAGGTGGGGCCCTATCAGTATTCAGGCAACATGGTGTCCTCCATTCAAATTTAGAATCTTACTTTTCTCTCAGTTTTCTGTCTCACTCCTTGTTACAATTTAACATCAGGTATTTCCCCTGCAACGGAACCAACGTAAAGTGTCGTCTTCGTCTCCTCTTTAATGACACACCGATTTCAGCATACAACCCTTTAAAAATCCATCCTGTACAGTTGTTGTTCAGAGCCAATCACCAGCATATAACAGACATATAACAAGCATCTATTTACCAAAAAGTATAAAGCAACTTTATCCAAATTCTGTTCACTTTTCTTTACAAAACGCACATTTCATGTTTCTGTGTTTGTGTGTGTTGGTGGCGCAAGAAGCTCGAATGAAGTGGGAGTTGAATTTCATCCTGAGGGCGACAGAAGTGTAAACACCAGTGGTACGTTATACAGGAGTGTGCTGCTGTTCATGTATGGGTGTGTGTTTGTTTGCGTGTGTGTGTGTATTTTCATTCATTCATCCATAGACATGAGTGCATATTTAGCTTTAGTGTTAACAGGAGGAGTCACACAACAGGGATTTCACTGAAGTCAAAGAGAGAGACAGAGTGTACTCTGCCAGAGGAGGGAATGTGTGTCAGTGTGTGCGCGTCTGTATGCATGTGTGTTTTTGTGTGTGTGTGTGTGTGTGTGTGTGAACTATTCTGCGGAACATTAAACACAAGTGTTCCCATTCTTAGGTCTGCACAGCTCTTTTCCACATTAAAACTGTCCCGCCTCAAACTACTGCACATTAACAATCAAGCACGGTGACCATCTGCATATGTACACACACGCACACAAAAAAACACACACACACACGCTTTACTTACAAACAGACAGTAATACCAACACACATCCTCACAACATCCAGATGGTGAATAGAAAATTCCAAATGCGAGGACAAAAGAGAAAATATAAGCAGTGACAACTCAGTCTTGAGTCCAAACACACACAAAGTAACACACACACACACACACACACACACACACACACAAACACACACAGAGAGTAAACAGACTTACTGTATCTCTGCGAGGACTCATCTGACTGCTGCTGAGGGGAGAATGGAAAGTGAAAACCTCATGCTTGCTTCACGGCACTCCTCTCTTTCACTCCCTTCATCACTGCCCCCTCCTCCCTCCTTTTTCCTTTGCTTTCTCCCTCCCCTGCCTCTTTTCCTTCCTCCTCCTTCTCCTCGTCCTCCTCCTCCCTCTCTTCCTCCTTCCCTGCCCAGTCCCTCGCTCCTTCTCTCTCGCTCCCTCCTTCCCACTTGGCAGAGCCCTTACTGTATTCAGATACACCAGTCTCCATATAAGGCAGCACAGCTAAACATGTCACACATAATTTATCCACAGCAGGCTGCGAGTGCACCTTTCACAGCTCACGCTTGGATCGTATGCAAAAGATGGAGGAGAGGGCAACGCAGGGGAACTTAACTCAGACAAACTTCTACTGTCAACAGCAACGTTCCTACAATTTCACACTCAGCGAGAGTGTGTGTGCACCTGCGTGCATGTGTGTATGTTAACAAATGCTGACAATCAGACCGTGAAAATGCTCCTGGAGACAAAAAATGCAATTCACCTGCATGGTTCCAACAACACCCTCTCCCTCCTTTCCTCCTCCCAGTCCCTCCACCATCTGTATCTGCAGCCAGTAAATCTCATACAGATGCTGTTTATGGGACTTGTCCACCTGCATGGCCCCCTTTTCTCTATACCTCTTTTCTGCTCACTTTATCTGAGCTACTACCTCTATAGAGCATGATTGACAAGAACAGTCAGAAGGATAAGGCAAATATGATTTAAAAAAGGTTTAAACAGAAACACAAATCCAGAGGAGGGAGTTAAACCATTTAGTTTGGGATTGAAGCAGGGAAGAGCAGCAAGTGAGAGTGCAAGAAGGGCAAGATAAAAATAATAAGTCGACTAATAAGATGCTGTCCAGAGAGGTGTTTGGTTGCAGCAGTAAGAATCAGCAGAATTCAGCATCATCATGTGAGAGGTTTTGTATAATCAAACACACGCCTGCTGACCTCTCTGCTGCTGTTGAGTTTATTTTTTTCCAATTTCCAACTTTTATCTTTCACTTCAAATGAGAAAAATAACAGAAATGCAGCAGGCAGATAGCAGGGGTGGTGGTGAAACCAAAGCAAAAGGAATAATCAGAGTAGCAGTGCTAGCTGATAGCTTTCTCCTCCCTCCTCCACAGCTTCAGTCCACTCACAGGACAGCAAGAGTCACAGCTCTGTTGCCATGGTGTCTAACTCCATCAAACACTACGTCAGGTGCATGTGTGTCTATCCGAGCATGTGTGAGTGCATGGCGGGGGTGTTGTGTGTTTGCGGAGGTGTGTGTGTGTCAGGTGGGTGTTACCAAGTGACTCAGAGCCACATCACCGACTTGGCTGCAATATATCAGGGTGTTCGGAATTTATTGCTGTTTTGGCTTTAGTGTGTGTGTGTGTGTGAGGGAAATGTGTTGATTGAGCTGCAGCCTGCTCCCAAAAGCACCTATGATGGATCTCTGCGCTCATGTTTAGCTTCAGCTTCTATAAATATTTATCAATTCATTCATAGAGGCAAAGCAACACACTACCGTCACTGGTAATATGGACTTTTGAAATCCGCAAGTCACTGATCTGTGTCCAAAAAAGGTCCTGCAGCCATCTTCCAGAGTTACGCTGAAGTGGGAACATTATGCAGTGTCTCCGTGTGTGTGGATGTTGTATTGTTATTGTACAGAACACATTTAGAGTCTGGGAAAAAATAAATAGCTGCATGGTGTGCCAGAGTAACCCACTGGAAATATTTTTCAGCTGCCGCATTTAGCACAGATGTCAGATACAGATTTAGTATCTTCCACATGGACACTTGAGTAAGTCCAACCTTTGCTAAAATAGTGAAACCACATGGTAAGAATACTAGACTATAATAGAATTTTACCCTAGCCACTTGGGGGCAGAGGGAACACACTGAAGTTTTCAAATCCTACATCTACAGCTTCAGAGTCCAAACTCAGCTATTGCTTGAGTCCAAATCCAAGTGCGAGTGCCTAAAGGTCCAGTGTGTAAGATTTAGGTGAAATGGGACTATTAGCAGATATTTAATGTAGAATAATCCTCATGATAGTTAATTTACCCCAGAAAAGGCCCTTTATATTTAAATATTTTATATCTACATGGAGGGGACCCTCTCTACGGGGGCCGCCATGTTTTTTACATTAGTCCAGACTGGACAAACTAAAAACCTTTTGAGTTTTTATGACAACCGAAGACTACCACAGGTTCTTTTTCATGTTTGGAAGAGGAGGGTGAGGTGAGGGGTGTTCAGCTGCAACATGAAATTTCAACACTAGATATCACTAAATTCTAGACACTGTACCTTTAAGTCCAAGTGGAGTCAGAATTACAGAAAATCAGGGCTCTTTTATACAGTTTATTATTTATTTATTATTATTAAGGTCACAGATCCAGGAACATGTGTCCCTTGTGCACCGGATCACTAAAGACGGGAATTGAGAAAGAAATTAGAAAAGAAAAAGGCTCAGAAGGACTTGGACATGGAGATCTGCATCCATAAATCATCTCTGATCCACACTGTTAGGCAAAGCCAACACTGGACAGGGAGCAAAAGAATATATTGGAAACATCTAGGATCTTACCCAATGGAAAATCCAGCAGGGTGACCCTGCTGTACGTCTGAGAGGGTTTCAACACTTATGACAGACCTCTGCTCTATTGTAAAGTATCTCAGGTAGAATTGTTTAACCAATCATCTTCAAACAACAGCAGCGTTTTAGGTATGTTAAATCTCTTCCACCTTGCAGAGCCTCTTTGCCTTTCTCTTCAGTCTGAACAGTTCTTCTGTTCGGGTACAGACATATTCAGGGGCCCCAAGCGTGACCTCAGTGGAAAATGTTTGAATCTGTCAACTCAGAGCTCTATAAAGGACCAGTGGTGGAATAAATGAATAACCATTGTTGAAAAAAACCTCCCTATTGAAATACTTCTGTTCTACAGAGCCTTGCTGGACTTAATCTTGTGATCTCTTTGAGCCAACATTAAAAACCGTCCACTTACAGTATCTCTCTGCTTCATCTTGAGCTCACTGAAACACACACTCTCTCTCAAGAACACAGTATGTACTCAGAAGACTACAGTATATCCAGTGAACACAGTTTTATCAGGCAGCTTTGAGTCCCCTGAACACCAGAGAGGAGGATATAGATGCTGCTGTCACATCGGCGTCTGGTGGATCAGGTGACGATACACATAGCAACAAATAGTGAGTTAATCAAAGCAGCCATAATGAAAAAGAGGAGCCTCTTCATTCTAAAATTTGCCAGGAGGAATTCTGAAGGGGAAGAACAGATGTCTGCTAAAAGGAGACAAACTGAATATTCAAAAGAGTTTTTTTTTGTCTTATTGGCATAATGGCTTTCTTTTGAATTTCATTTCCCACGCCACCAAAGCTCTTTTTTTACCCTGTTACAGCATATACAACTTTTCACGTCTACATTATACAAACTGTCAAAAGAGGCAACGCACACAAGTAAAACAGCCTGACAGCTGTTTAGAGACATCGTGTGATGAGGGATGATGTGAATAAAATTACCTTGAGCAGAATTTCCTTTAGAAGGATTTTTAGAGAAGTCAGCTTATGTTTTCCTGTTTTCTTCAGTAATCAGCTTGTACGTCTGACATTTATGACAAATTATGTCCTTTAGGAATTAGGAGCTAATTTAGAAGTCCCAAGCTTCATTTCACAACCTGTTTCTTATTCTAAACCTTAATTTTGACCTTCTGCTCTATCTCCTCATGACAAAGTGTTGAAACATGTTTTCACAACATGGGTCCCAGGGTGGGGGACTAGACATTTCTCAAATGAGTCCTGAGGAAACAAGTTGAAAAGTATCTTCCCTACAAGCCGCCACAGTTCTTTGTCTGGGTTTCTGGTGCAACAGATATGATCACAAGCCTCAATGACCGTTAAACCACAAAATGACCTATGATAGTGGAGCCATGCTTTTACCCTACTATCAGCTTGAGTTACTGTCATGTCACAAGGAAACCTCAGAAACTGCCTTTGTTTTTCACATTATTGTTTTGTTACAGAGCCAGTTACTGGATATTTAATACAATGTTTGCCCTTATAAAAGTCTATTGTTTTTCACTGGTCTTACATTTGAAATGACATGATTAGTCTTGCCTTTGTGTTACATGAAACATCAGTCACTTGGCATTCACTGGATGTGACGCAATTAAATATCAAAACCAAATTTCACATATTGCTGTGTAACTCCTGACTTTTTTGATTTAAAAAAATATTCAAACTGTACATAAAAATCAATTCTGTAACTATGCTGGACTACTGCACATGAAAAGGTAAACAGCCTTCAGAATTAAAGAGTGGTGAAGTTATCCCTTCATAAAAGTTACAGTGTTCCCCACCAGCACTCTTAGGGTATTCAAATCAGCTACTGTTGAACAGCATCTGTGTAATTGCAGTAAAGACAAATGCAAAAACGCAGAAGGAAAATAAACATAAAAATGACACAGATATTCCACAGATGCATATAAAGTATTTCAAATATCCTCTCTTAAGAAAAAACCTCAAACAATATTTCCAAGAAAGAAAAAAAAAGACATCATCTTTCACTATAGCAACAGGCAGGGAAGTTGTCGGAATGATAACATGTCAAATATTAATGACCCTGTCTTTTGTACAGAGCAAAACTCCCCTCTGCTCCTCTCAAGAGGCAGAAAGACAGATAGACAGATCTTCTCGTAAAGCCAGTAGCTGTCCACTCGGTCAGAGAAATGCCGTCTTACCTGCCTGGTTGTCTGTGTGTTTCTCTTTGTGTGTGTGTGTGCTCACACACAGTCCCCACGAGCAGGAACTGATGAATCTACACGACTTCAGCCCTGCAGCGTGCAGTGCATTATGGGGTTTCAGTCTCTCTCTCTCTCCTCCTCTCTCCCTCATTCTCTCTCCTCTGTTTCTCTCTACTATGTCTCTCTCTCTTCCTCCCTCTGTTGGCACAGTGTTGGAGGGGGATGTCCTCGCGCCCTGTCTGGAGAGAGGAGGGTGAACTCACGCACGCTGTGTCCACACACGCACGCACGCACACACACACACACACACACACTGCAGAAGTGAGCCTCATGATGACGACTGCCGCCACTCTGGTTACCCATAGCAACAGCCTCCCTCTCTCCCTCCAC